GGACAGACATGCTGAAACTTTAGCCAATAGGCCACAGGCACATGATGATACACAGATTAATAGAAATGGGTTAAATTAATATGTAAATTAGCCAATAAAAATAAAGCTAATGGGTCAAGCAGTGTTTTAAATAAAAAAAAACAAACACCATGAACAAAACCAGCTTGGGGAGAAAGATTATTTCAACTTATAACTTATAGTCATCATCCAGAAAAGTCAGTCCAGGATCTCAAGGCAGGAATAGAGAGGCAGGGACATAGAGGCAGGAACATAAAGGCAGGAACATAGAGGCAGGGACATAGAAGCATTAACTGATGGAAAGACTATGAAAGAGTGTTGTTTACTGCCTTGTGTTCCATTGCTTGCTTATTAAACAAGAAAATACCCCCAGATTCACCAATAGGAAAGTCTTGAGACATGACTTTCTCATGATTCTCCCTTTCCAGATATGTCTAGCTTTATGTCAAGTTAACAAAAAAAGTATCCAGAAAAAAGGAACCAACACAGAGCTCAAGTCTTTAGAAAAATGGGAAAATTAATTGCAGGCATTGAAGTCCCCTGTCAGTCCCATTCTATGGCAGGCCTAGCAGCAAAGAATCTCAAACATACAAGTTCTTAAGAAAGGCCTAAGAAGGCCTCCTCCACTCTATCTGGCTCACAAACATAGCTCCCAGCAATAATACTTAGAGATTTAATCTAAGAACTTATAAACCCCACTTCCATTCCAAATAAGGAGATACTCTATGGTGTCAAATGCTGATTAATATAGGTTTTGTGGGTTTAGTCAAGCCAACTTTGCCTTACAAAATACAGTTAAAAAGTCTGGGGGTAGAGAGAAACTATTCCCAGCACTGTCACACTGTCTACTTTTCCTTACAAAATCATGCAATACATAAAGAAACAGAAAAAAAGCATAACTTAGACAAAGACAAAAACTAACAAATTGAAACTTGGGGAGGAATCATTCACAGGGATTTCTCAGTAAAACCTTTAAATTAGTTATTTAAAACACATTCTTTTTTAAAAAAAGGAAACTCTGTTCAAGAACAAAAATAAAAATATAACCAAACCAAAAATGTTAACAGAGAAATAGTAATTGTAAAAGAAAAGAACTAAGTAAGAGAAATTCTAGGATAGAAAAAGTAGAACAACTGAAGAACTTCGTTGAGAACTGGCATCCACTTTCTCTGGATGTCATGGCAAATGACGATAAAACACACCTAAGAGCCACCTCACCTTCCGAGAAACAGTTGTGACAGTACTGCTATAGACTCCAAAACAAGATGCTGTTTGGTCCTCATTATTGGTTTCCTTCCTTGGCTTGAGTTGCTTCCGGTGGCTTCTGGCTGTGGTCCATAAGCCTTGGCAATAGTACTTTACTTCAATACCTTCTGCGCTCTCACAGGACCTTGGTTTCTCTGCCTCAGATGAGGTCTATCTCACCTTCCCTTCTAGGAAGAAACTTATTGCACCCAGATATGACCTATCTTATCTCCTTGACCCATAGATGATATAAGGGATTTCAGCTCAGTCATCTAGTTTTTTAAAGTTTTTATCTCTTTTTTTAAAAAATAAATCTTTTTCTTTATTTTTTTCATTTAATGCAAAACAACATTATTGATTTATCCAGTTAAACTAGCTGGTAGGAGAATTTGGAAGTTTATATTATGTTATGATATTCTTATACCTAAATGGAGGGAATTTGTTAAAGGTAAGTGATATAGCCATGTGTAATTATGGAGAGTTACAACACTGTATTTCTACACTTATGTTCATATGCCTACAGGATGAGCAAATGTTGTATCCTGTAACATAAGAACAGTCAGAACCAGAGAGCAAAATTCTAGAAACATTGAAGAATTAGCAGCTTTCCTCTTTTTATTTATTATTTTGGCTGTTTTTTATATTAGGAAAAATTCTACATGGTCACAGAAACAGGCAGTGAGGTTGAGAAATGGTAATTAGAGTTAGGATCATAACACAATCTAGAGCGGATAGAAAAGGGAAGGAAAAGCTTCATTTGCAGAAAACAAAAAGCGAGGATGGTGGAATGAAACTCACTGAGTAGGAAAGAGACCAGTGACCACAGAACAAGGGGGAAACGCTGTACAGTTGACCATAGACAATGTTCGAGTGAGATGGTGTTTCCGTGGACACCATCCTCATTGTCCCTGCAATTACATTTTAGAGCTAAACAGAGAATCATCACTTACATCTACAGGTACACACTTGATGGCGGTGCCCCAAGGCTCTTCATTACTATGCACTGAAGTTCTCACAGGAGAAATATAAGACATTTAAGAATTTCATTGTGTGACCAAGTGATGACTAAAAATGGTTCAAAGTTCGGCAATATTCTGAACTGTCTGGCAGAGCTGAGAGACTATAATATCTATATATTATATATTATATGAGAGACTATAAGGCAAAATAATATCACCTTGAATACTTGATGTCCAAACACCATGTGTGTTCTAGGTCAATATAACTTTCTTGAAGTTTTGAGGATTAAGAAATCATTTATGCTCCATTAGCCAACCCAAGCTAGGTAAATGAGAAGGCAGCAGCTCAGTCGCACTATGGGTTTCTAGAAAAGAACAATTAAATGAAAAAGAAAAAGTTTGAACAAGACGTGGTGCCCGTGTCCATAGTCCCAGTACTCAGTATACTGAAGTAGGAGAATTCTAAATACTTTGTCACACAGGGTAGGATAATAAAGCCCTGTTTCAAAATGGATCTAAAAACACAAATACAGTCCTACCTTTACTCAACAAAGATTCTATCCATTTAACTTCTAAGTTCCCAGACCAAATTTCTGGTTGGTGTTTCTACATTGACAGACATATTCTAGAATTTTTTTTTCTACTTTTATTTACTCAGTGTGTTTTTCACATCATGCATCCTGATCCCATTCATTTTCCTGTCTATTCATATCCACCCTCTGACCCTGCAACCCCCACCCCCAGTGAAACAAATTTAAGAGAAAAAAAAAATAAAAAAAGGAAAAAAGTAAAAAATTTCATCATGGAAGCTGCCATGTGACACAGTGAGTCACACAGAAAACTCCTTTGTCCATATATCTTTACTTGCAAGTGTTTGAGTGTTCATTGTAAAGAGTCATTGGTCGACATAAATGGTTCATCCACTGACACAGTCTATCTGAGCTAATGGAGCTCACCAACTCCGGCTGGACTGGGAAGGAACAAGCATAGGACCAAACTAGTTCCTCTGAATATAGTGGACATTTGCATGGCTGGGGCAGATGGAGGGGCCACTGGCGGTGGCACCAGGATTCATTGATACTGCATGCACTAGCTTTTTGGGAACCTATTCTCTTTGGATGTATACTTTGCTCAGCCAAGATATAGTAGGGAGGGCCTTGGACCTTCCCCAAAGCAATGTGCTTTACCCTCTCTGGGGAATGGATGGGGTGGGGGGGGGTAGCAGGGTATGTGAAGGGAATGGGAGGAAGGGAGTGAGAACTTGGATTGGTATGTATGATAAAAAAACTATAGTTTTCTTTTAAAAAAATAAAATAAAAAGAATCATTGGTCTGATTCACTGACTCTAATTACTACAACACCTACGATGCTGGGCCCTCACTAGGACTTTTCTTGGATATCCTGCTGTTGTGGCCCTGTGTTGTGGAGATCCTGCAACTTTGGTTCTGTGTGTCAGGCCCCTTCACATGGTCCAGCATATCACACAGATGGGGTGGACGTTGCCATAGGCCAAGTCGCAACCCTGGCTTGAACCTAGGCAGCCACAGGGTTGGTCAGCTCACCAGTTCTCCCCTGCCCTCACCACTTGAGTGAGCTCTCCAGCATTACCCTGGCTAAGTCACCCTCGCAGCAATGAGGGAGCGGTGGGTCCAATTCTCCTGCTCACATGTCCTATGGGTGGGCTCTCCCCAACCTGCACCATCAAGCCAGCACTACTTGTGTTGTCCAAGTGAGGTGCATGGTCAGCTCTTCCGAGTGCTGTGCCAGGTGAGGGGCTGGAGCAATGCTACATTTCTGAGCCCAGGACCAGGTCCTCCATCTGTCTCATGAACTAATGATTGGGTGGGTGGGGCATCTGTCCTCTACCTGTGCCAATACATGTGAGAGGAGTAACGGGGACATCACTCCCTTGTTTGAAACTTTGGGGCTGTGTCACCTACACTCTGATAATGAGACCAGGGAGGATCAGGTCTGCTTTCCTGAGCGCTGCAACTGGTAAGGGAAAGAAGGGAGAAAAGGGGGGTTTCTTTCCTCCACCCACACCATCGCTGACAGACAAGTAGTGGGGACAGTTTTCCCATGCTTGCCACTTCAGGGCTGGCTCACCCACACATCTACCAACAGAGTTTGCACGATTGTGTTGCCCAGATGAGGTTAAGAGCCTGTTCTTCCAAATGTTACAGCTCTGGCAACTACCTCAATCACTGATGGGGGAAGATGTTAACAAAATATATATAACATAGAAACAGTATACAACTGTAAATAAGTTGAACAAATTGTTATTAATAGAGGAGGCATTTTAACTGAATGAAGAACAATATTATCTACATATTTTATAGTAGTTTAGTTACTGGTGAGCAAAATGTATAAAACCTAAAACCTAAAATGCTTGTCTCAATAGAAGCAATGAAAATGACACATCACAGCTGCACTTTCATATTTTTAGTACCTCAAGTACTAAGGATACCTTTAGCCAAAATGGCAGTCTGACATCACCTCTGCGTAAACAGATTCTGAAAGCTTAAAAATTTGGTATAGATTGTCTCTAGATTTAATACAACATGAAGCCACCACTAACAAATGAAAGAATATATGTGGCATTTTATTAATAAGCATTTATCATAAATTCATAAATATTTGTCTCATAATGCTTACTGTGTGGTATTTAAGTTTCCTTTGGTGTTCTTGCCAAAGATATTCTTACTTCACATTTGACTCTTCTCGGAAGCAGTGTCTGACTTCTGTTTGTAAAGTCTCTCATTTTCTTTTCATCTGCAGTTTGGTCGCCACAAAGGAAACGAACAGTGCAAGACCTCGCAGTGCTCCAATGTCCCCTTCAGATTTTCTGGACAAACTAATGGGGCGGACCTCAGGGTACGATGCAAGAATCAGGCCTAACTTCAAAGGTAGCTATTCTGTGTACTTCCTCGGGTGTGGTGTGCTTAAAGAAGTGAAGTTTTCAAATTGATTCTGCCAGAAACTCTAGCACTTATTTCCAATAGTCTTTGAAATACTGTATTAATAAGAGCTGTGCCTGCAAGAGAAAAGCCGTGTTCATGTTTAGAGAAAGCATTATGTGCCTGGTGTGGACAAACAGTACTGTTCTTTCCTTAATAGTTATTTATTATTTGGTTGATTTTGGTTTTTCTGAGACGAGGCCTTGCTGTGTATTCCATATAGCCAAAGCCACTGTCATGCTCATGGCTATTCTCCTGCCTCAGTGTCAATAATGTAGTATTATAGGTGTTTTCCACCATGCCTGGCTTCTAAATACCTATATGTCTTATATAAGCTTTTTGCTAGAGGAGTGTGTGTGTGTGTGTGTGTGTGTGTGTGTGTGTGTGTGTATGTATGTATTAATGCCTATCTGTTATCCCACTGTCTGGAGCAAAAGCTTAGCATCAGTAGTTCAGATTTTATTTCTATTTCTATAACCAAGAAGCAACCAGAAGAAATAATAAATTCCTTTTTAATTTTCAGGATGGGAATTAAATGAACATATTTTTTGAGCTCTGGTTTGCCTAGAAACCTTTGCTGTAAAATTTAGGCACTTGTTAGAACAGTCTATGCTTTAGAGAATATGGGTTATTTGATGCATAGTCATCCATCCTGATAGTTTGTTCGCTATTGGCATCTTATATTAAAATAGTTAATTTATCACAATTGATGGACTAGAGCCCTTACTTTGCCCTAGAGCTCTAGCTTTGTGTTGAACGGTTTTCACAGGCTATACAAATTTATAAATAGCATGTTATCTTTGTATCATTTATACATCATCATCATAAGTATAGTTTTATAAATAGCATGTTATCTTTGTATCATTTATACATCATCATCATAAGTATAGTTTTATAAACAGCATGTTATCTTTGTATCATTTATACATCATCATCATAAGTATAGTGTTATAAACAGCATGTTATCTTTGTATCATTTATACATCATCATCATAAGTATAGTTTTGCTGCACTAAAATTCCAAATGTTAAAAGTGCATAGAAAAAAATCAGATTTTTAAATATTATTGATTCATATCAAACCACCAAATTTCTTGTGAGTGGTAAAATGCCACTTAGCTCAGAACAATCAAATTGATTGCTGTGGGCATAGTTGCAGCTTTTGTATTTCTCCCCCAATTCTTTTTCCTTTCACTCTGTCATTTTTAATATTTTCTCTCTTGAAAATTAAATTGGAAAGGAAAGGCTTTCTGAGCTGGACCTGTGCTTGGTGTTCTTTGTTGAATTTTGTTGCATACAATGTCCTGTCTGAGGAATACCCCTTACAGACACAGGTGTTTGAGCACTTGCTCTCCAGCTTATGGGATGTGCTACAACTTCTAGCTGGTAATGTCTAGCTGGAGGCAGGGTTGCTGGAATTGAACAATTTAGCCTGACCTGAGCTCTCTGCTTTGTTGAAGATTTGTGAGGAAACTATGCCTTAAATTTCTGCTACCTGGACCAAGAGGGTCCAACCCAAGCTTTTCTTGCTGTCAAGGACTGTATACCCTGAAACTGTGAGCCACACAAAGCCTCCTTCCCTTACTCACATCGTTTCAGTACACTTCCATAGTAACATGGGATGTTCCTGATGTGCAAGGCTTTTGTCTGGAGGTACCGAAAAGTATCATGTTTGTCCCAATTGTCAACAAAGTTATTTACAATATTTCAAACTGCCTTAATGCCAACTAAGAACAATCTTGTTTCATAGGAAATGAGCAAGGAGAATGATTCTGAGGTCCTTTTACTCAGTCCTACTCCACTCAGTTTTCATTTGTATTGATATAATACTTTATCTCATCTGTCAGTTGTCTTTAAAATCTTTTACTTTTTATGCCATTAAACTAATTATGAACTTCCTCACATCTTCTTTGATACATTAATTAATTCTCACTTTTACTTGGCAATACAATTATCTCTAGACAATAAAAACTGTTTATATATGTCTACATGGTCAAAGTATATTATAGTTTTCTTCTACTTTTATTTTTTAAACTATGTTTTAATTGAAATAGAGTCACTTTTGGGTTACCTTTTATTTTTCCAACCCCTCACAGTTACCCCCACTCTAATCACTCCGAAGCCAAGATAGCCTCTTTTTTCATTACTGTGTTGCAGATAGATATGTGTAAACACACAAATATTTAAATTACTCTTGTTTCATGTAGATATGCACAAATCTATAAAAACATTCTGTGGAGTCTGTTACCGTTGATTGTGTATATATGTTCCAGGGCCTACCACTCTCCATTTGACAACCAAAAAGCGTGTTCTCTCCAGGGAGAATTGATTCTCCTCCCAACAGTTGTTCATTTCCTCTAGGTCTTTGCATAAAGGTGAGGCAGCAAGGCATTCCCCTTAACAGTATCATTTCCATTAACATTCTAGGAAAAACTGTTCCTTTAGATGATGTGTTGATCCTCTGGGTCTTAAAATATTTAAGATATTTTCATCCTTTCATCCTTTCTTCTATGATAGTCCCTGATTCCTAGATGGAGGAGCTGTGATACAGATATATTGATTGGGGTTGGCTCCTTGCAGTACATTGACTTACCTTTAAATTACTATTTATATAGTAATTATCTAACTTTTAAGTTGAAAACATTCTCAAATAATCAAAATAATAAATATAATAAAAACCCACCTTTTAAAATTAATCTACTTCACTGCAAGTTAGTGATCTGAAATCATGACACTCAATCCGTTACTAGAAGCAAGGCCATTAACTTTGATGACCACTATAACTAGCAACATAGCATGAAGATACCACTTCCATCTAACTTCCAATTTCCCAATTATACTTCATCAACTATTTAAATAATAATGATTCCTTAATAGTGCTATCCAGTTTACAATCACTGTCTGAAACATCTCTTCATTTTTTTTAATTAAAAGTATGTTTTTCATACATTATATTCTCGTTAGTTTCCACTCTCTCAAATGTTCCCATGTCCTCCCAATCTCCCCACCTGCTCAAATCCATACCCCATTCTTTCTCTCTAATTAGAAAACAAACAGACATTTAAAAATACCTTGGCATGAAAGTATTTTTTTTCAGTTACTTAGAAGAATATAACTTACCTCTCATTTGTCAAGTATTTCCTCAACTGTATTTTGTTTATAGTTTATTTTGGCTGAATATGTTTATTTTGTCTGTATTATTATAGGTTGAATATTACTAAACATAGGTCATATTGGTATTTATTATTACTGATAACTTTCACATTGTTACCCATTAAGATATATCTACATATAGGAGATATATCTAACCACATATACACAAACATTACATACATATATGTTTGCAGATATTTTTGTATTTACTTCCTTAGGTGATCACTGAAGACCTTGGTTTTACATTGATATTTACAGGTCTTTAAAGTTTATATCGATTTCTCAGTTTTTGACTCCCATTACCCTCCATACAATTATTTATTTGATCAAAGTGTAACGAATCTCTGGTGCTACTTTGTTTTGTTTGTTCCCCACGTTGGTTGCAGTCTGAAATTGTTCTTTTTGGATTCCCCTGAGACGAGTGTCCTTCAAATTCCATGTCTATGGGTTAGGAACAGAAAAGCACACACTCCCTGTTCTTTCCTGGATCTTATACCTCATCATATTTCTCATTGTATAATGCACATCCACTTGATCTCTACCTAACATGCCATGTCTTGTAGCCTTTCCCTACAGAAATGCTTCTCTCCTGCAAAACTCTAGGGACCGCCGGCATATAAACCTGTCTTACAACAGCCATCTGAAAAAAATTGGAACTGCATTTCTGTGAATAGAATAAATGAATTTCTATTTTTATTCCTAAAGTACAAATTATAAGTCTGTATTTATAGTCATCAAGAATATTTTGCTCATTTAAGAAAAAGGAGAGTTCTCCCAAGCGACATGCATATTCATTTAGCTAAAATAAAAACAAATCTCTAGGTTGGGTTATTTTTCATCTTCAATTATATTGTCTTTAAGAAGGGTAAAGCTGTGGTACAGAATTCTGTTACAAATTCCTTAGAGTCATTCTTATGAAAATTTGAGTTGTTTGACTGTTTGCTCTACATTGGACTAATGAACGCTTTCTCCACTGTGATTAAAAATAACATCTCCACCAAGTGTCTGAATTGCACTTTGATATTCTGCTTTTCCTTCATCTCTAAGTTTAAAAGCCATGTTCTATGTCTTTAAGGGACATTTAAAAGAGAGATTGCCGCTGAAAACATCTGCAACTACTGTCATTTGCTTTTCAGGCCAAGGATGTGGACTGTAATGAACAATTTAGAAGCACAGTTGGCCATATGGATGCTGTAGCAGTTATTTGCTCTGTTGCTAAACATAGGGGTGTATTGGATGGATATAACAGCTTTCGCATTGGCACAGAGAAGTAACAGATTGGCCAAGGGCTGTTAAACAGGTGCCGCCAGTGATAGCAAGTAGATTTACCATCTTCTCAGAGTTTCATACTCCATAAAAGTTTTCAAAAGATACTTAAGATAAAAAGGAAACTCCAAAATTGCTGGCTCCTCTGACCTATTCCCGTCTTATGGGTAGAACATAGTTTCTTCAAAGCCTGACAGTGCTGTATTCATCTCCTTTGATTCTCCATGCCCACTGTCCTCAGCTGGGTCCATTTCGTATTACTCTCATACCATTAAAAAATCTCCTATATCCTATCCTCCAAAGCTTTCATTACTCAGTAAAATTAGGGATTCCTCAACAGTGCAAGGATACCTCCTCGTTCTAGTTATTTTGGTTTGCTTTGATGAAATATCAAGAATTAAAACAATGTGGCAATGAGAGAGGTCACGGCATAGAGGCAACAGTCCAAAACAAAGGGAAGCCAAGGCAGGAACTTGGAGACAGAAACCAGAACAGAGAGCATGCAGGAATGATGCTTACTTACTGGCTTGT